CACAGAGGCCCATGGGGCCCCATTCCCTGACCTCATCATTTTTGAATTCTCCAAAGGCTCCTCCCCTAAATGCCAGTCACACACATTTGGAGTTGAACTTCCTGATCAGGAACTTTTGGGGAGGTTTCAAGTCATAGCAACACGAAAACATAGTGAGATGGGTATCAGGGGAAGAGGGACCTTCCGCTTCCTCCACCAGTTTCTGGTCTCCTCTGCCATTGTAGATCCTCGGGGTGGAAGAACGGTGGGGATCACTCAGCTCCCTCCATCTGAACAAAATCCTGTTCTCCAGATTAGGGACTCTAGTCTAAGAGAGAGAGCTTTGTGGAGAGTGGCCTCTCTGCAAACCCCGGAGGAGCTACATCATCCTATCCTTATCTTCTGGCTCCCGCCAAGCCCTGGCTCATGAGTTCTGGTGGGTAGGAGGGAGGCCGGGCATATTTATCTGAGGCGCTGGTGGCCAGGCACCTGGGGATAGCCAACCAGGTCTGTGCCTGCAAGCGGCAGGCTGCTGGCCTCACATGTCCTTAGGTAGAGCACTCCAGGATCAGGTGAAGGGAGTGACTGCCCCTTGCAGAGATGGCCGGGGTGCAGCTCTGGGTGCTTTCTGGCCTGCAGTGAGGAGCTGATCTTATGCCCAGAGAAGAATATTGGCAGATTCTAGTACCAGATGCTGAATTTTCTCTTGTGGTTATATGAAAATGTACATTCACCGGGGCGGGAGATTTAGCTCAATGGCACTGCACCTGCCTTGCAAGTGCATGATCCTAAGTTCGATCCTCAGTACTGAAAAAAAAAAAAAGTACTCATTAAAAACAACTTCAGGGCCAGGGATTTACCTCAGTGGTTCGGTGGCCTGCCTTGCAAGCACAAGGACCCAAGTTCAATCCCTGGTACCAAAAACAAAAACAAAAACAAAAACAAAAAAACAAAAAAACCCAACTTCAAACATGACAGGAATGTAGAAATTAGAAGTGACTCCTTTGTTGGCAGAGAATTTTCAGGGAAAGAATTGGAGAACTTTTTCTGGGAATCAGTTTCTTCAGGTCCTTTGGGGAAGTAAGTTCTGCCACCATGGAGGACAGCGCAGAGCTCTGAGGTTATAGAGGTGTTGGATGAAATTATGTCTGCCGTGTGCTCAGTGTGTGTTCTTTTCCTCTATGCTGTCCCTGGCTTCAGATCTTCTGGGAATCTTGTTGGGCTAGAAAGGAGAAAGTTGGGTTAGAAAAGTCCTACTGTCCCCAACTGCTACTGCCTGCACAGTGCAGAAACTGCAGGCTCCTGCAGCCCAGGCTCCTCGCTCTCTGCGCTCTCCTTGCTAGTATTGGCCTGCTGGTTGTCCTGCCCCGGTTAGGTGAGGACAGGCACAGTTGGCAGGGAGCCATTCTGCAGCGCCAGTGTTGTCCATCCCAGGACCCAGCCCTGCCTCTGGCCCTGGGGCTGGTCCTCCTGAGGGTTTCAGAGAAAGTGTGGGCAGGCTCAGGCCACATGCCCACTATCTGCAGACACAGCAAGGGGTTCCCATGACACACACCTGATTCTCTGCAGCTTGCTTACCTGCTAGGCACCAAGTGAGTGGCATCTTGACTTAGCTAAAGGGTAATACCTGGTATCTAGTTCTGGGGATTGAAATCAGGGTGCAGAGCTGTGTTCCCAGATCCTCTTGTCTTTCTTTATTATATGCATATCCTTAAATTGCCCAGGCTGGCCTTGAACTTATGGTCCTCCCGCCTCATGACAGACATGTGCCACCACAGCTGGCAGATAACATCCCTTATCCTTGGTTTAATTGGAGAGGGAGTGGAGAGGATTGTGAAGCCCAGGGATGTGATGTCTCTTGAGTGCATCCTGGCTGCTGAGAAGTCAGTCAGGTAGCACCCTGTTTCAGGAGGCGAGGGACCTGCTGTGCACTTTGTATGGCTTTATCTCTCTGCGTCCTCCCAGCAGCCCCATGCAGTGCAGTTGTCACCCCCTCATCTGCTGGCTATGCCTTCCAAGACTCCAGTGCACACCAGAAACCTTGAGCAGGGCTGAACACATTGGTCACTGCACTTTCTCTGAGTGCACCCTGCATGTTAGATAAAATGTTAACAAAGACCTTAACTGCAGTAAGAGATTAACAACAGCAGCTCCTAACAGGGATAGAATGGGTATAACATTATGCTGTAATAAACTTTTCTTAAACTTGTGAGTTGTTTGTTTTTAGGCGGCCGTGGACGGAATTGTGAAGGTGAGGAGGCCGAGGAGAGGGCATGGTGAGGAGGATTGTTAATCTTGTGAGGAGGAAGGCAGAGCTGCAAAGTGTTGAGCAGTTTTCCTGGTGCACAGAGGGAGCCGTGGGTCTGGGGTGCAGGCGTGCTCTTGAGGTGCTGGAGCCCATCCGTGAGCAGATGCGGGCTTGGGCTCGTTGCTGCAAAAGCCTCTGTAGCCCCTCTGCTGGCAGTGGTCTCTGTCTTTATGGCCCAGCATAGTGGCCGGCTGAGTGGGCGTGAAGACCCTGTGTGAATACAAACTGAGCCTAGTGGGCTGAGCAGCTGGGCACGGGGCATGTGGCTGCCCCATGTAGGCTCGGGCATGCACAGAGCACAGCACGCTTCACTGTGGGGCCTGGGATGTGGAGAAGGGAAGATAGGTGTGGTGTGGATCAGACCCCAGCTCTGCACATTTCGGGGAGTTCCAGCAGAGGGGCAGGAGAAGACGACAGGCTTGGGATTTAAAGTGGACGATGTCCTCATGCTGTGGGGGCACTGAGGAGGGGACAGTAGAGGACTCAGCTGTGAGTCTGTCACCAAGGGATGGTGTCAGGCTGGAGGAGGCTCCAAGGGAAGAGGAAGAGGGCTTTGTGGGATGAGTAGAAGTTCACTAAGGGGGTGAGCAGACCCAGAAGAGGGTTAGTGACACATGAGGTGTGGCCAGAGTGCAGGGGTGGTCGTAACTGAAGTGGGAAGCGTAGGGGTCTAGACTGGTGCTTTGTGCTGAGGGGCCTGCATGTGAGGCCTCTGTCCTCATGGGGCTCTGTGTGTCAGCTCAGGGCATCACTGTGGCTGACTGTGACAGGGCTGGAGGCAGGCCATGTGGTTGGATGGTCGGGTGAATGACCCCGGTCTTCCCAGGATTCCAGCTCTGTCCTCCTAGGCCTGCCAGCCTTTCCCCTCCAGCTCATCCTCTACTTCCCATGTCCTGGGGTGGTCCCTGCACCCTGGCCTCCCAGCACAGAGCCCAGTCCTAGGCGGATCCCACCCGGATGTGTGCTGGGTTGTCCTGCTAAGCCCATGAGCGTCTCCGTGGGTGCCTGAGTGTTTCTAGAGGAGGGCGGTGATGATGAAAAGTTTCTTGTTGTGTCCAGTTTGCTGTCATGAGCACTAGAACTCAGTGCTGGCTTTGCCCTTGGCTCTGTCATCAACTGCCTGCTGACTGGTAGTCATGTTACTGTCCACCGACCCACCACCTGAGCTTCCTCTCCAGCTCCACCTGACTTCACCCCAGGTTTAAGATCCGAGAGCTGCGACCATGGGGGGGGCCCTTCTGGCTCCTGTCTCCCCACCTTTGGTCACTCTGTCTCACACCAGAAACCTTTCCAAGTACAGTGGCCCCCCAAAAAAATTCATGGGGTCACATTCCTAGAGCACCCATGAATTGTGAAAAACTGCAAATTTCAGATATCAGAAAAATGTCTGTAAATGTCTATCTTTATAGTTCAAATCTCTCCCACAGTTATCTAATTTAACAAAATAATGTATTAATAAAGCCTTAGAAAATGCAGGGCATTTTGGTGGGCTCTTAGGGCTTTTTTTTTTCTCTCATTGAGTTTATTGGTACATTTTAGGTATACAGTACAGTTACATTCATCATTGGGATCTTGTACTTTTACATGACAGGCCTTGTTTCTAATTTTTTTCCCCTTGTCCCTGCCCTCCCTTCACTCTCTCCTTCCCTCCCCATTTACAAATACTTTATTTCCATTTTCTCATAATTTTTTTCTTTTCCCTTATTACCTTTCCCCTTAGCCCCTTTCTTCCTATTTCACATTGTCAATTATCTCATTAGAATCTTAGGGCTTTAAGAAGAACAAAATAGCCGGGGATTTAGCTCAGAGGTTTGGTGGCCTGCCTTGCAAGTGCAAGGACCCGAGTTCAATCCCCGGTACCAAAAAAAAAAAAAAAAAAAAAAAAAAAACAAAATAATAGAACACTGGAGACAGCTGCATGTGGTACAGCAGTCTGTTAGTCTAAGGAAAAATCTGTGAATGATTAAGGCCATGAACTCTGTACCATGACTTCAGGAGGAGGTGCACTGTATCTTCATTTCCTCATCTGTAAAGCACACATAGCCAAGACTGAAGATTGAGAGACCTGGCTGTGTGTGACATGCAGCATGCTCAAAAAAACACAGTGAATATTTAAATGTTTAAAAATGACAGTAAAAGGCTGCCATTAATTCCAATTGGAGTCCTCTCCCTCACTTTGAACATCTCTGTCCTGTTATATTGGCCACCTTCTGAAGCAGTATTGGAGGTCCTCTTTTGCAGGTGTGCTCTCGTGGCTGCCCTGCTGTCCTGAGTGGGTTCAGATCTGTACCTTTGGTGGTCAGTTGGACTCTGGAAGAACATGGCACAGTGCCAGACTCAGTGAGCCAGATGAGGACCACTGTAATGTTTTATGAGCCTCCTTTTCCTTAGATGGCACTGGGCAGCAGTATTGACTGCTTTTGATCACACCCCATAAAGACACTCTCAGAGGACTTCTGGAACATTTGCAGAAAGTGGCAAGAAAAATGGGGTGTTTGAAGCAAGGGGGGAGTGTTTTGAAGGCGATTAAGGGCAATCTGTCTTTTACTGTAACATAGTCTAAAAATTTAAATTCACAATGTATTTTTTGATCAGCCCCTGTGTGCTTAGTCATTTATTTGTCTTTTCTTTTCCTCTTTTCCATTTCCTTCCTCTTTTGGAAACCACTTCTCATTTCCACAACTTACAGTGTCTTCCTTTCCTGCGAGTCAAAGGGACATCCTATCCTGGCTTCTGCTGTCTCCTAGTTGGTGACATGGTCTCCCTGGTGAGCCTTGGCCATTCCCTGCGTGAGGCTTCCAGTTCCTGCTTCCCAGAGCAGCTTGTGTCAGGAGCTGGCTAGTGTCTGGTGTGCAGTTTGCGGGGAGGCCACTGGGGCTCTGCAGGCCCCTTTGGAGACACCACTCCCACCCTCATGGCATCTTGGTGCATCCTCCACGCTGAAGAGAGAGCCCTGCCCCCTGAACAGCTGACCCTCAAGACTCCAGTTTGTCCTGTGAGTTCTGTGGTCCCGTGGCACGGTGGCGGGGGTGCTGTTGCGTGGATCCACCCAGGTCCACTGCTGTGGGTGGTCTCGGGTCTGCCTGGGGAAGCCTGGAGTGAATCTTGCCCCTCACCCTGCATCGGCAATGCTTACTGCAGTGCCATGCAGGTCCCCCCGGGGTCTGGGGCTCAAGTTCCCCAAGGCTGGGCTTTGTTTCCAGAGCAGCTCTCAGCAGATCTTGCAGTCTGAATCCTGCTGCCTGTTCCAGTTGGCTTTCCTCTTTTCTCCCTTCCTCAAGGAGTGTTGGAAGTGAGGCACTCTCTTTCCATCCTCTGGTGCAGATGGCATGGGGCACGGCAGGCTGGCTGCAGCCTCAGGCAGGACAGAGAGAACAGAGTGGGAGCCGCTGGGCTCAGCACACTTTTGGCTGGCAGCTTTGAGCAACCCTGTACTCCAGTGGTGCTGACTTCTGCCTCACTCCCTGCCACTTGGGGATCTGTGCCCCTCCCCCTGCGCCTGGAGCCCATGGACAGTGTAGATCCTGCCAAGGTTTACTTAGCAACATGCACCTGCACCTCTGTGACTTGAAGGAGCAGCTGTTTCCGGGACAGTCAGGTATGCTTTCTGAGGTCAGCAGTGTGACTGCTCTGGAAGCCACTAATCCAGACTTTAGAGAGGAGTGGAAAAAGGTGGTGTATATGGGATGTACTGCGTGCAAGTTCTGCAGGGCTCATGGTGGGGAGAGCTTGGTGTGTGCAGAATGAGCCCCATGTCCTGGTGCCCCATGAGGCTGATGTGATGATGCACTGTGAGGGGACCCAGAGTCCTCCGTCCTGGGTTCCAGTGGCTGCATGAACGGGGCCAGGTGCCCACCTCCCCTTGCTGCCAACTGTAATTCTAGAATTTGAGACCTGACTGTAAAGGATGAAATGGGAACTCAGCAGGGGCCTCTGCTATGACTGGTGGTTCACAAGCACCGCTCTCCTCCATCTGCCCTCTTTCCAGCATTGGCACCTTCACCTGTCCTTACCCCTCCCTGAGAGTCCCTCTCCCTCTTCCGAACTTCCCGTGATCCTCCTATGGGAATGGCTTCAAGCTTTGTGGGGCTTCCCTGGAGTCCATAGGACATGTCCCTCGCTGTGTGGGACAGTGGTAGGGTTCAATCCTCAAGTGGGCTGTTTGGCACAGGGCCATTTCTTTAAAGGAGTTCACACTCTTTGCAAGCAGGGACCAGTGAGGACTTTGCGTCTGCCTTGGGGTCACTTTCTGGGATGCCTGTGCACCCGACCATTGGGACCCCGAGTGGTCAAGGGTAGATTTTGCAGAAAGCAGCTGTCTGGTGGCTTGGTGCTGTGGGGATCTAGTTAACATTTGGACCTTTGTTGACCTGTTCCCAAAGGACTTTGTGGGCAGAGGCAAACAGAACTCAGAAAAATTGGAAGGTTTTTCATTTGTGAAGGAAAAAATGCTCACAATGTTTCTCAGCAGTTTCAGCCTGGTTACCTTCACATTTAATGAAGAAGGAAAGTACACTGACTCAATTAAAGCTTTTCCTTTATCTAGACCTGCTATGTGTAAAGGCTTTGCTTAACCATTGTACACATGTCACTGTAAAGACAAAAAGAAGCTCAAGCCTTCCTAGCCTTAGTGAGCACTGGAGCAGACATCTCACCCAGGTCTGCCTGCTTCCACAGCCACTCTTCCTTCCTCCGCTCACTGTCTTTTCTGTCTGCTAGCCTGGCTGCCCACCATTTTCTGCCACCTCTGGCTGGGTCTGTGTGAAGTCTGAGGCTGCAGACCCAGTGTCAGGGTTTGTGCCTGGTGGCTCTGAGCTGAGCCTTGCAGAACCCAGAGCAGGTCCCCTACACAGGGCGGAGGAGGGGCTGCAGGAAGAGGCTGCCTCCTCCCCTCTCACAGGAGTGACCTGGACTGACTCTGGTTCCCAGCCATCAAGCTTCACACACAGAGGTGACACCTGTGGAGGGGACAGTGACTCTGCAGTGTGTTACGACCCCCAGAGGACATGCAGTTTTGTTCCATGTTCAGTATGGGGGATCACAAGTGCTTCAGTATGTGGGTCACGGGCCATGACACAGCATGGGACTCACACCCTGGGCCCCACCTCAGCCCCTTCCTACCAGGAGGATTTGGGAGTGTGATGGGGGTGCACTGGAAGGAAGTCCTCGTTGTGTCACCCAGCACACGTGGGGAGGGAGGGAGCCTGTTGTAGGGGCGGCGGCTGCTTTCTCGGGGCAGGGCCATCAGATGTACAGTATCTTTCCAGGGCAGCAGGAGCTGCTTGTGGGAGAAGCACCGTGGCCACAGGGGGACAGAGCTTGTTGCCCTGTCCCTCCTCAGGAGGAGGCATAGGGGACGTCCTTTTTGTGACACCAAGGGTGGGGGGCACAAATGTCACCTCAGGAGCCTGATGCAGAGACCAGACTGCTAGGAGGGTGAGGGCTCTGAAGACTGCGTTCCCGCCTTCCAGGTCTCCCTCTTCAGATTCGCTACTCATCTCCTCTGCAGTCTGCTGTTGAATAGGCCCAGTGAACTGTTTAAGGCATTTCATTCTGGAAGGTTGATTTGGCTTTTTCAGTTTTTCCTTTCTTGCTGAGATTTCCTGTTTTCTAATTCACTAAGGGTATATTTTCCTTCAAGTCATTAGGCGTAGTTACAGTAGATGCTTTAAGCCCTCATCTGCTAATTCCAGCAGCTTGGTCATGTTGAGAACACAGGAATAGTCTATCATGGCCTGTTTTTCTTGAGAATGAATCTTACTTCCTCTCCCCCCTTATGGTTATTTGTTATCCTGAGTTAATTGTAATTGTGTCATGTGCATTGCAAAAGACACCTTGTAGGGACTCTGACTTCTGTTGTGCTTCTCTGAAGAGTATTGCTTTCCTGTCTCAGTGAGCGGTTAACTTAGTAAATGTTTGAAATGGATAACTTAGTAAACATCACTCAGTGAGCGTCAGACTCTGACTGGCACTGGGCCACAGTGGAATTAGCTGGGCTGTGTATGAGCTGGGCTCTGGGCTCACTGCTTGCTGCAGGCTACTGTGTGCATGAAGAGCTCAAGGCTTTCCTTTCGGGGTCTCTCTTCATCAGGACTACCCTCTCACTTTCCGCCATCCAGTTATCTTCATCGTTGTCCTGATTTTTCAGTCCAGAAAAACCATTAAATTCTAGCTACCTGTCTGTGTGAACCTGGGCCTGCCCTCAGGCTGAAGTAACCAAAAGGAGTCTGTCATGGGGATGCTGATTCTTTCCAGGATGTCCTACATTTAGGATGTCCCTCCCTCCCTCCCTCCCTCGCTCC